TTGGTGGACAGGTATAGCTTAACTGTGTCCTCACCTGTACCAACAAGAATTGACGGCATAGTTTCTAAAGTTATTGTTTTATGTGGTAGTATTGATTTATAAGTAATTCATGCTGGATCAAATGACCCCTTGAAAATTTCCGATGGGCTTGTAGTCTATAACCCACAAGACCACACGTTTTTCTGCGACATTGTTAGATAAGTTATTAAAGACTCATGAAAGGTCCAACAAGCGTGACAAAAAATCCCTGGTCAGAGATAAGCCAAGAATCATTGAAGGAGTTGAAAACGGCTCAGAGAAAGTTACAGATCAATAAGGATACTATCAGCACCCCTAACTGGACATTGCAGACTTAGAAAACATCTGATTAATACTGACCACATGGTAGACTGCAATGTTTTATCAAGAGGAAAAGGAGGTCACAGCCCATGTATTGTTCAAGTGTGAAGGTCTAGCGATGGTAAGCCGCCTACTTTGGCAAGAAAAACGGAAGCTGGTCAAAGTTATGGAGCCCCAGTAGGGGTTAACGTTAGATGTAGAAGTATGAAATATGTTTTTACAATTTTCAATCTATATTCGTCATTTCAATACCGTTATTTATCTGACAAAGAAGGCAGGATAAGAAAATAATATCAAGACCTAAGAAATTGTATGTTCGGGAACAAAGGAAACGTCGGAAGCAATGAATGAATAAAAAACGAATAACGCCTGCCACTAGGCGACAGTTGCTATCAGAGCTCTTGTATTGCCGGTTTCAATTCAACAATACAAACTTAATAAACTGTTTTTTTTTAAACCTTATTATGTCGAATATGGCTACCCACATCAATTTCGCTGCCCACATCTACTCCCCGCTTCGCGAAAGGAATGAATCGATTGTACTTACGTCTGGAGTCGCTAGATAGCTTCATCTTGTCCAGCGTCGCCGAGTCCCTGTCGTTGTACACCAACACACCGGCTGCGTTGCTGCGGAACGCGTTCTCCACTTTGTTCTCAAAGTTGCAACGGCCCCTCTTGATGAGGGCTATCCAGGGCGTGCCAGGCGAGGGCAAACTCCTGTCTGCCCTCGAACTTGTGAGGGGCAGTTGGCAGCCCGTGTGGTCGTCGAGTCTGGCTCTGGACGTCACGTGGACCAATTCCCCGTAGGCTTGACCTGAAGGAAAAACTGTGTTAAATTTTTCGCCAACAAGTTGCGATCTCTTAAGGCGGGTATCCATTTGTGTCAAATGCCCCGTAACGTAACACCGAACATGTTACGTTACAGCTAGTGGAGACGGAAAATTGTTGCATGGTACGTGTAACAAATTTGACACGCGTAACTAATCCGGGTCGAACCATCAGTTGTGGGTTTTTAGTAGACGCATCAAAGGGATGCAACAGTACTTTCTGCCACATGGTGAGACGGAGTTACCCTTTTGGCCGTAACGTTGCCTGTTGCACATGTGATTTTATCTTAATTTTTGTTTCGTCAGTCTTTTGTATATGGTCTGGGGTCAGTCTGTTTTCTGCAGTGACTAGGAATAGTGTGTTTTTCTGCGTTTGTGCCATGGAGTGGAGTAAAGAAAAGATTTCCGGAGATTTCCGTTTCTTATTCTTCAAAATTGTATGATGAATAAAAATACTATATGACGCTGCTGCTAACTGCAATTGCAGTGACGAATCCATTATTGCAGTTAGGTTCATACTGCGAGGTTATGTTTCTATGTCGTCTCGTAACCATATTTTGTTACGTTACGGAATGAATGATACGACCAAAACCACACATACTTTCGCAGCGAAACGTGCCACCTTTTGCAACAGGCCGTAACATGTTCGTTGTTACGTTACGGAGCATTGCCACAAGTGGATACCCTCCTTTAGACTGATCGAAATGTTTTGATGACGACGTACAATCAGTTTTACCACTTTCTATATTCTACCCTATTCGACTAAACTTAAAAAAAAATTCATAGGAAAAAAGACGAGTTTCGGTGAAAAATAGAATTAAATTATTATTAAAGTATTCGTTTTACAGGAAACTTCCAGTTTCCAAAGCTACCTTTAATCCTACAAGGGATTGTAGGATTAAATTGCTTCGAAATTCTCGGAATAAAACGAGCGGACCCGGGCGGTTCTATTCGTCGAATCGAGGGTTAAATCTTGCGAAATTTAATAGGGAATATATAAAGCAACGTAGATAGTATTCAGCCAAAGCGTAAAACAGTGATAATATACATATATAGTGTTTCGTGAGAAATTATACAGGAGAATTCACGTAATATTCTGTCTATCTAATATTTTTTGCCTTTTAGTCTGGAAAAAATGTCAAATATTTAAAATATACACTAGGCTCAGGAATTAAGGGATATTAAAAAAATCCCAAAAGTTTGGGTGATTTTCAAAGAGCTGTAACTTGGGGGGAAATGGTCGTAGAGAGAATAAAAAACCAAGGAAATTGAAGCTTCATGTGTCTAGTTTTCAGATCTGCAGTTTAAAATTTTTTAGCGTCAGCAGATTTTGAGTAATCATAAGAAAATCAACGGAAAAAAAAATTTGTAAATTTTTGCTTTTTTAAAAAGGCTTATGGAATCCAAAAAAATCCAAGCAGGGTTTTGAAAACTACAAAGTGTCCTCTACAAGTTGTAATTATAGGTTTTTGATAAAAAAAAATTCTTCAAAATGAAAATGGTTAGAAAAAAGGTAAAAAATTGCATAATTAGGGATAATTGAATAACTTTGCAAATAATTAATAAACTAAGGATGTCGACTGTAACTTTTCAACCTCAAAGTGTCCTAAAGAAACCCTGATAATTTCAAAACGCTGCGATTTTTTTCCCTAGTGCCCGGAATGTTTAAATTTGTCGTTTTGCTGAAAATCAATGGATTAACTAATTTTTCACTTTTTATTCATTTTTTTAAGTTAAAAATGATTACAAAATCACCGTCAAATGACTGTACAAGGCCCCAGAACCGCTCAAATTGAAGAGAATTAAATAATCTAAAAGAGCTTTATGATGAAATTACCAAAAAAATTTTGGACATAGGCCTTCTTAAAAAAAAACAATATGATTACTCAAAAACTGCTGACGCTAAAAAATTTGAAACTGCAGATCTGAAAACTAGACACGTGAAGCTTCAATTTCCTTTTTTTTATTCTCTCTACGACCATTTCTTTCCAAGTTACAGCTCTTTGAAAATCACCCAAAATTTTGGGATTTTTTTTTCCTTTATTTTTTGCTTTTTTTTTTTTAACCAAAACCATTTGACGTTTTTTTTTTGGAATTTTAAACAAAATTTATGTTTTTTCAATATTTGGACGGAAATTAATATGTATTATTTTTATATTATTGAACGAGACACTTGAAGTGTTCTTGAATATGCTTTCATTCACTTAATTTTCAATAACTGGTAATGCAGATTTCGTAGCAATGAAAAATAACAGAACTTTTCCGATGCGACAAGTGAATAAATGTGTTTCCATCAGGATGTAGATGTTTTTAATTTTGTACCTATATAAAATTATATTAAGAAGTTGCGGTATTAATAATACAGATTTCAAACACGAAAATTTTAGCTTGACTTATTCGCATTGTTAAAACAACGAAAAGCTGATTAAAAGAAATGTATTACAAGATTCCATTGCTTCGGTAGAGAAAAGTGTGACCAAAAAATAAAATGCATGGTTTCTGTCGCTGGTTCTTACACGTTCAATTTGCTATACGGAAAAGTAGAAAGTATATACTGGGTGAACATGAAATTTTGGAAGTATTTACAAAATTAAAATTCAGATCTTTCCGAGTTATATTACCAAAATCAAGGTTCACAGTATGCGAAACCTCATTACGGGAAAACGATGGAAATTTTACTCAAGAACACACACATTTTTTATTGCTGTTACCAAACACAAACAAAACTATTTACTCATAAACACATTGTTTATATTTTAACGTTTACCTAGTTATCGGCAAATTTGTCGATATCGTAAAAGTAAATAAGAAACTGCGACTTCAAGATCACAAATTTTAATGTCAAACATACTCGTATATTTCAAATAAATGTACTTTGATCGAATATGTACGTCATTATTTGATTATATACACAACACTCATAATTTCTACTTTTCCTACAACTTATCCTGATCTAAATATACGCGATAATCCTATACTTTGAAAGATGTACGATAATTACACATTCTTTTATTACGACCACGTAATACAGGCAATAGCGATAAACTCTTAATAATACCGGTACAATAAATTTGTCAAATTGTCCTTTAAAAAATATTTATAGTTCCACCAACAGACTTGAAATATTGGTTTCTATATTAGTTATCGATTAGGTAGCGGATCATGCCAGTACGTCATGTTATTAAATGTGAAATTATCTGTAGATATACTAACACGAACTTTGTTTACGTATATATACAGGTAAGTTGCTAAATTTTAGGCATAACAGTATGAAATGCAATTTGATTGTGATATAAGCGCTTATGAAAGAAAAGGGATCATTTCAAGTTATTTCATAACTTTGATATCCCCTTTTATTAACTTAAAAAAAGATATCTAGATGCAATATGGCATAAATTTCAAAATATTGAATTCGTTATAAAATTTGTTTCGTACAGAATATCAAAAGAAAACATGTAGTCACCGCTAAATGTCAGTAATTGGATTCGAATTTGAACACAGTGAAAAGCAATTTAGAGACAAAATACAACAAAACATTGGTTACTGAACTTAATTCAACACATTTTATTTTCAACAATCGATAAATTGGTTTTCTGTGGATCGCAGAAAAAATGTTGGGGTATATAAAAAATTAAAACCACACCTAGAGCGAGTATATTTTTAAATATACAATTTTGTATACAGTTATTCCTAACAGTGAAGTCTAAAGAGCGTAAGGAGTATATTAAATTTATGGCCCATACTAATCCAATGATTTATTACAATGCTTAAAAACTTGGTTCGTTAAACGATATCTCCCAACACACCTTGTACCAACCAATAGGTACAAAAGGTTTCACTTGTACACAGTACTTATGTGGTATTGTGAAAGTAGACTGAATACCGCAGTCTCCTGCATAATGAATATAAAGCAGTTTGAAGTGCATACAAGAAAAAATCGCCCAGTGGCGTCCGTTTGCTTTAGGATGATAGAAATAAAAGACCGATAATCAGAACTTGTACAACACCCATCTTAAATGTCATAATTTGCTTAGGATAATTTGACATCGCCATAAAAGAATATTTTTTTAGATATTTCGCAATACTTGGACCGTTTTAAGGTCAACAGGTTACGCTGACGCTTATTTTTAAGGCTTTCCTAAACTATCGTAACCATCCAAGGCAAAATAATGCAATATCATTGCTCATATCCTCCGTCAGATATCATAGGATACACGCACAAGAAAAGCCTTCCTCAATTTCGAAAATTACTCAATGACAGGATGGGAAAGTCGGCATAAAATCAGCCGTTTGCAATATGAGTATCTACATTTAAACATTAGTTACATGAAGGTCGTGGTAGTTGAAAACAATAACTTATATAAGCTCAGATGCAAACTTATTTACGTCGGTCTGTACCTGCCCTAATAAGGTCTCTTATGTTTGCCGCTCCTATTGCGGACTCTCTTCATTAACTACGCATTTTGTGGATGAGTTAGATCAAGATATGTGTAACAAAACGAATAACTGATTTTTGTTTTTGAGTTTTTCTGTTTTAACAATTTTGTTCAATTCAATTCTAAAATTTTTTTCGTCTTCAATATTCTTCCAAAATGCATAGGTTCCAAGATATAAGTAAAAAACTGAGATAAATAGGTATTTTTTAAAATTTTTTGCAATTTTGAAAATGTTCCGGATCTCGCCCAGATTTAGAGATCTACACTTTTATTATGGGAGTTGTATTGAAGGTAATCCAGAAAATCCACCTCAAAACAGATCCACCCTGGTCTATAACGTAATAAAACAGTATTCAGAAGCATTAATTGCGAATAATAACTACAATAAATGTTCATTCGGTGTTTGGCAACGTTTTGCTTGAGATGAACAAATTCGTATTGTACATATTCCCAATAAAAAAATATTGAAATGAACACTGACTCCTTTCACAACCGGAAATGGAACTAAAGCAAAGCTTATACCCACGCTATACAACAGGGTAAGATGGAAAAAATGTAGTAGATATCTATTGTTTGTGGGGAACTGGAACTTTATTTTTAGTCACACCTCAATGTATACACAAATATTATAGTTTCCTTTTAATTATTAAGTAAATAAGAAATTAGGAATTTCTCAGGTTACAAAGTAATACAGAATTTCTACAATAATGACTCAGATTTATTCAGAAATGTGTCACGTAGACATTCCACAAAAATAAAATGTAAATATTTTGTTTAATTTGGAATTATTCAAATCCTCAAATAAACTTTTAAAGTGTTGCAACATCTAATCTCCTCAGTCCTATTTTAAAATCCCCGATTTTGTTAACACTGACGATAAGAAAACGTAATACGAGATTTTTTCATTAAGTTTGGAATGTTACACCTGTAAGATAATTGGATTTGTCACTGTAAAAACACTTTTATAGATTATATAAATAAGGTTATTAACATGTATGCCTACATATGCCATCATTGCCTACACAGTGTCTTCCTATTTTGCAATTATTTTTCTTCAGTAAAACTTCACGTCATTGTTACCAATTTCGATGCATTTTGATATAAACTGCATCAGAAATTGACGTGAAAAAGAGACGATGTTTTAGACTTTGCAACAAAAAAATAGAATAAATAAATAGCCCTAAGATTTGACGCAGAACCAAATTCTAGAAAACAGAGTCATGGTATCAACTCATTCAATCAATATACACCAGGAAAATTGGTGAAAATAAAAGAGAAACTCGAAAAAAGTCCTCTCCGCGAGATTATTGTAAAATTGTCTAAAGGAACATAATACACGACATCTCTCATCTCGTGTGTCAAAAACTTTTATTAGCTAACTTTTCTATTTAAACAAATACGTGAGGAAAACAGTTTTTTCACTTTGCAGGGAAAACCATTAATTTTAGCGAAAAGTGATTCTCAGACAGCTTGTAGGGAGTAAAATTATCTACAAAATGAGACTTGTTAAATTAAAGTCGGTTAATAAACAGAAAAGTTATTGCAAAAAAAACAAGAAAAGTGTCAATTTTTTAATTTGTTTATAACTATCGCATTTATTGTTCAAATTTTATAAAACCTATGACAAGTTGAGGGTCTTGTCATACTTTAAAAAGTGGGTGCTGTAGGTGGAATAGTTTTCGCACAATTCAATTTATTTATAACGGAGGCTCCAAAAGTTATGAATTTTAAGCCTCTCTACAGGCGTTAATTTTCAACCAAACATGATTCTGAAAACGCCATTTTAATCTTAAAGACGTAATTAAGCGACCTATTAAAAAATATCACCGTTTTTTTGACATTAACATTCTCAAATTGTGCATTAAAAAACCGTGCGTTTTTCGCTTATAAATAGTTTGAATAAAATTTTTGCTATTTATGCTACCTCACCGAAAATAGATACAATGGATAGCTGGCAAAAAATACATTTTTTTTAAAGCACCTACAACCAACAGGAGCCAAACATTTTTTTTTCAAATCGTAGCGCAATTGTTTATAAATATTAAGACTTGAATTTTTCACAAAATAAGTTTATGACGTAAACTACGATTTCCCGTGAATTGCATTGAAAAACGTGGAAAATTAACGACTCACGAGCCTTTTAATGAGGAGGTACTCGCTAAGTAAACTGTCCGGCGGCCGGCGGCGTGGTGGTGGGGGAAGCTCGTCCAAGCGAGTCGCGCGCGCGAGAAAAGTTAATTCCAAAGTTCAAATTGATGCGCGCCGTAAATTTTGCAATATCTCGGCTTCTATTCATCGCAGAAACTTATTTTTTTTAAAACTGGGGTAGCTCGACGAAAAAATAACACTGGGCATATTTACGAATTCGTAGAATAGCCCTGAACCCCAGAAAAAATGCATCTTTTATACTTAATTTTTTTTAATTTACAAAAATCTCACAAAAATTATTGTTAAACGAAGTATTAATTAAAATTTCAATTTCGGAATCATTTTACTATTATTAAATAAACAAATGAAGCCATCGTTCATAACTTTTTTGTTTATTAACCGATTTTAATTTAACAAGTCTCATTTTGTAGATAATTTTACGCCCTACAAAAAAACTGTTTTCCTCACGTATTTGTTTAAATAGAAAAGTTAGCTAATAAAGTTTTTGACTCGCGAGATGAGAGATGTCTTGTATTATGTTCCTTTAGACAATTTTACAATAATTTCGCGGATAGGACTTTTTTCGAGTAAAAATCTTATTTGCTTAGCCTAATATGGCAAGCTCTAGCTGATGCACACTTCGGATATTTCGTACCAAATAAAGAAACATTGCAGTGGTCCTTAACATAGACAGTTTAAGAAATAAAAAAACAGTTGAACTTACCAACGTAGCCGCCGCCGTACCTCCCGACGTCCGTTTTGTCCCATTTCCAGCCATCCTCAGTCAGAAACGTGACGTTCAAATAGGCGGACGTGAAAATGTCCGCCCTACTGTCATCCGAGCCGAAGTGGTTGAAGTTCGGACCGGCCACCAAGTCTTCTGGTACCGGCGTCGTGGAACAACAAGTCAACACGTGCGAAATCAGCACCAGCAGAGACCACTTTGGTATGTCTTCAACTACACGCTTGATGCCGTCCCAGCACATCGTTACGCCTGCGGAAGAGAACTACGAACTGGTCTAATCTTCTTTATGGACGGCAGAGACAAATCCTGATAAAAATTATCGCTGTTATTATCTGTGTTAACGTTTTTATCAGATTAGAAATGACACACCGGCATCTACGATAGTTAATGGTATCTTGTAAACACTTTGGGATAACCGCGGAAACGTGATTTTTTTTTAGGACCTTTAGGCAGTTCAATATTTAAAAAAAAAGCAAAGGCTGCTAGCCAATGATAGTTTACTAGCGTATTAGATCAATTTTGCTGACATATTTAATTAAAATCCTACATGTATATTAATTTCAGCGAAATACAACACAATAACAATTGAAGACTCCAGTCATATTCTATGCAATAAATTTTTTTGAAGATTTTAAATTTGTCAATTGAAATTATTGATTGCTAAGTTACAAGGAAAAGTAGGGCATGTGGTAGCAACCATATTGAATAGTTTTAGTGGGAGCCGATAAAAACGATAAAATGAAAAACGAAAAAAATCGTTAATAAACAATTTAAAAAAAGCAAAAAATTATATTTTTTGTTTTTTTTTTACTTTTTTGCCTCTATTTATTTTTTTTAATAGAAGTAGGCAAAAAAAATGCTTTACAAAAAAAAATAGGTGAGATTCCCTTCAAAATGATACGTTTTCAAAAGTTTTTGGACTAATATTGACTGAGTTTTAACCGGTCAAACTTAAATATTTTTTAGATTTTCGTCGTTTTTAACATAATAATGATTATAACTTATTATTTTTACGAAAAAATAAAGGTAAAAGTCAACCTTGTAGCTTATAACGAAACAGAAATTCTAAACAATATTTGAGTATAATTAATAAGTAGCTTTTAAATTAAATCATTTATATATATTATTATAAATCTCCTTATTCTTTATTTGAGATAGTAAAAAAGAAATATAGTATGGTAAACTGTAAATTCATTTGAAAAATCTCTCATAGTTTGATACAGTTGCGAAAATCTTTATTTATTACTAACAAATAAAATTTTTGAAATAATTTTTTATTAAGAACCAATTTGTTGTAAAAATAATAAGAATTATAATAATTATTATGTTAAAAACGAGGGAAATCTAAAAAATATTTAAGTTTGACCGGTTATAACTCAGTCAATATTAGTCCAAAAACTTTTGAAAAGAATCTCACCTAGTATTTTGTAAAGCAATTTCCTTTGCCTACTTCTACTAAAAAAATGAGTCAAAAAAGTTTAAAAACAAAAAATCAAATTTTTTACTATTTTATTAAACTGTTTATTAACGATTTTTTGCATAACATTTTCCTTTAAATTTTTTTAATAAGCATTTCGATGGGAAATTCACTTCTCTATTAAAATTTTTCCTATAGACTATAACAAAATTTTGCTTCGTTTTCGTGCTATATTTAAAAGCTGCGAAAGTGCATTTTCATCCCTATCTTCAATTTCAACCCTCTAATTTAATAGCACCCCGCAGTCATGTGATGAAAATCCTTGAACGTCTTATTTCCTTCGTTTTTTGCAAAAAATGAGAATTAAAACGTATAAGGGTAAACGCAACGAAAATCGAAAAATTGGCTAAGTTTGAGCGGCCTTATATCAGTCAATTTTCATCCAAAAATACTTTACAACCTCTGATTTTGAAGGAAATTTTCTCTATTTTTTTTTATGAAGCAATGCCTATACCTATCTTTACTCAAAAAAAAACTAGAGGCAAAGAAGTAAAAAAATAAAAAAATCGAATTTTTTTCTTTTTTTGCAAATTGTTTATTAACGATTCTTTGCACGAAATCTTCCTTTTAATTTTTTTAAATTAGCCATTTCGATGGGAAATTCAATTCTCTAAATAATTTTCCCTATGAACTATAGCGAAACTTCGTTTCGTTTTCGAGCTACAATTAAAAAACTGAAAGGAGTGCATTTTCACCCCTATCTCCATTAGCAGTCAGCAGTTTTTCATCTAAAATGACCCTTTGAACGATTCATGCAATAGAATTGCTCGAGTTCCTTTTAACCCTGTTTTTTGGACATATCAATAGCTGAATTTTCGTGGAAAATAATATTCATCTAAATAAACTTGCATCTCACTGCTGGGTTGTAAAGTTTATAGCATGTTTCGGTTATTTTATCTATTATTACAGACTTATCTGCAAAACACTGATGTGAAGATCATAACACCAATAATAATCCTTAAACAATAATTCCCTATGTTGTATATCCAAATCGTACAATAGTTTCTTGTAAATGTATATCCCCATGTTTACATTTGTACTAGATACATATTTTTTTGAGTGTTAAATACACTTATTTCATTACGTTCTGCCTTGAGAGGTGCTAACTAAATTTGTGTTGGCACAACTGTCGACATATAATTTTTCGCGTGATCACACTAAAAATAATGCGATAGTAGTAAGTTTTGTATAAAATTTACCACAGTACGACGAAACGGCATTATTGATTTTTAATACCAAGAATAGAGAATTCTAGAAACTTCCCTAGTTTTTCGCAGATTTCCATTACAACAGAGAGACGCACATTTTGATGCGTCATACAAGAAAAATAGGTCAGTCCACAAACTGTCTATCCTTTATCTTTTAAAATGAGTAATAATAACATAAAAACATATGGCGTAGACAAAAAATATCTACATTCATGGAAATTTTCATTTATGTTTGCAAATGCTTACGTTTTAATAGGAGTACGCTAACTGTATGCCATACGTGAGAATTTTCCATTAAATATTTGTTTATATTCCAGAAAACACCAAAACTATAAATTATCTTATTAAATTCATTACAACAAAGCAATATGGACACCGGATTGAATTAACTTTCCGTTGACAGTTTCAGAATCTAAATATTAAAGTCTTAAATGATTCCGAAGAAAATCAATAAAAGTTTAACAAACAATAACAAGAATTATAAGCGCAGGTATCCACATAAACAAAGATGTGTTTTAAAAATAGACGATGTGCATGTGCAAGGAATATATTAAATAGGATCTAACGGAAAATTTTTAATAGCACTTAACTACATCATTAAAAACGTATCCAACAAAAGAATCACCATTAAACTATTAAAAACATTTCGTCGTAAAATTTAACTGTGTTTACGTATATGTATCTTATCTCCGTTAAGAGACAATTTCGGATTCTAATGAGAGAGTACAGTAATTAAACGGTTTTTTTATCGTAAAATGAATTAATATTTAGGGTAACGTTACTGGAATATTCATAATTTGTTTTTTTTTAAGCAAAGTAAAAGTAGGGAGCTAACAAATTAGGTAAAATCTACTGTAACACTTTACAGAATTTAACGGACATGATACGGTCCTTAAAATTAAACAGAATTTTATTAATGTCACACTTTAAAGGATCGAAAATAATTACATATTTGTCCTCAGTAGTAATTGTAAATAATGTCAAGAAAATCGTTTTTTCAATCTTTGTTCCATAAAATTAGATATTTATTATTCTTTGGCTAAAATTGGTTTTTGTATTAATTAGAATCAGGATCCATCATTTTTACCTATAAATGTTTAATAGAGGGTGTTAGAAGTTTGACTGCCTTAATTTTAACGGACGATAGAATTCATTAAAATAAACAAAAAAACTTATATGACAAGGATCCTAAACTTAATCATTTCCGAGAAAAAAATTATCAAAATCAACTTGTACAAAAGTTCGATTAATTAAAGAATACTGACATAACTGCGTGAATAGGATACCATAAAATACACTGTTCATCACTTTTTTCAACTTCTTTATTCTTAATTCTAAAAAATAATTAGCGTAATAAATTTAAAATTCGATAAAATTCATATCGAGCAATGTGACAATGGCGCGGTGGTTAACACGAGGTACTAAACTGTCAAACAAAACGCAGTTAGTATCTGGAATTGGACCGTGCTTGAGTGTTCTTTGCGTACCACTATTTCCTTTTCTAGAGGTGTTTTCCAGCGAGTGGGCGAAAATTATATGTATATCTACATCCATGTAACTAAAACCTGCTTCCTATTATTAGGTAAATAAGTATATATTTGTCTCAACACCCTATAAATGTATATAATTGGTGGATTATGTATTTTTTCAAGCCGAAATTTGTATATTAGAAAATAAGCGCATGGAACTAGTTTACCTAATAAAAATAAATAATAGCAGCATGTGTTCCACGTAATAAATATAATAAAATAATGCAAACAGTGTTAAGAAATCTAGCTATAAATTTACATTACAACACCTTTTTTATTTTTGGATTTTAAAGCAAATGTTAGAGAGACTAACACTTAATGAATGCCCCCATTTTTCTTTAAAGATGATTTGGATTTCTCTCAAAATAATGAAATTTAATTTAATTTCCATATTGGACAGAATTTGAAGTAACAAAAACAAACTATACCACAAATCACAATTTTAAACATAAAAGCATTCTGCCAAAATGTACGCTCAATTTGGACAATTCTTTAAAGTTTTTAAACAACCTGTTTTCTTTATTATTATGGGTTAAAATGGAACAAAAATATGTTAATAGATCTACACAGCTGAACACAAAAAGCCACTAAAGTCGTTTATAAATGCCAAAATACTGTTAATTTTAAAAGCAATCTCACCGGAATGAGTGTTTTTTTGTTGGCGTTAAGAGCAATCCAATTATTAAAGAACCTGTATTCGATAAGAAGATATTAGATTTTTTAAACTTTATCAACCACATGGTGAGTGAATGGTGATAGATAACTGATTTCAATCAACCTCAGAACTTTCCAATCTCAATCTGTTTTTGGATCGATTTTCCCTTATAATATATGTATTATTAAATCACAAAATCAACTAAAATGATATAATTGATATGATGTATGTCGATACACCAGACATTTTTTATTAGCGACTTTATATCGTGAATAACATTTCTGCTACCGTTTCTCATTAGTTGAAATTTTTTGGTATTTATAATAAAACAGGTTCCACCGTTACAATTGGCCAAATTTTAAAGTTACTTGGTACCATTTTGCAACTGAAAATAGTACTCAGTGAGAATTAACTTTAATATGTATTTAAAGTATTTA